AAAAGTTTGGCAAAATAAACTGGTTGTTGAAGGAGGCTTGCTAGATTTTATTTCAAATTCTACGAACGACTACCATGAAGAATAAAATTGCTGGGGATTTTGTGGAATATGTCAGTCAAATGATAGATTTATTACCGATCAATTCTGTAATAGTCATGGACAATGCCAGTTGCCATTCAAGATTAACGAAACCGTTACCTAACACTAAATGGAGAAAGCAAGAATTCTTGGATTGGCTAATAACCAAAGAAATAGTAGTAACAGCAGAAGGTTTACCAAAAAAAGAGTTATTGCATCTATGCAAACAATATTCACCAAAATTTAAGAAGTATAGTGTAGGTAGATCAAATAGCAAAAGAACATGGAAAAGTGTTGCGATTACCACCTTATTACTGTGAAGTTAACCCCATAGAACTAATCTAGGCTCATAGGCTCAAATGAAGGGATATGTCTCGAGATATAATACAACATTTAATCTTCAAGATGTTTGTCAATTATTATCTGACTCCATATCAAAAATTTCATTTGAAAATTGGCAAAAAGCTATAAGACGTGTCATAACAAAGGAAGAAACAATACTAGCAACTCGACGTGTTAAAAGAGAAAACTTTAGAGCCAATTATTATTTCTGTGGGAAATGAAGAAACTGATGATGATGATGATGCCTCCTTATCGGAAAAGACAAGTTATGTATTTAACACGTTAAGCACGGTGAGACATCAACGCAATATCTCACTGTCCGGTAAACTTAGGCCGGCGTGACACCAATAGACGTCTCATGTCAAACAGAAAATAAGACGGCGTGGCTCACTGTAAAGTCACACGATAATGATAAATTTATGGGAGGCGATAAATAGCCGTCTATAGAAACATCTAATGTGAACCGGTCTGGAATTTTTAGACACATTCAGTACTTACAGTCAACTGAGTGTCATCAATGAGGAGATATTGTATTTCAAAAATAAAATGCATATAAAGTAAACAAAACATTTATTAGCAAAAACTCAGTTACAAAGTAAAGACATAGTTTTATATAAATGAATAAAAAAGCGCATTACTTTGATTTTGTAGCAGAATGCGTTTCAAAAAAACATGGAACACAAAAACTCTTTTTACAAGATGTGCACTGCCATTTCGTTCTTGGAGTTTTGCTTTGTGCTTCTTGCCGTCCTAAAGTTTCTTTTTTTAAAGCATAGCACACAACACATCGACCTTTAGCGTGCTCTTGTAATACATGACGCTCATCATTTTGGATGTTCTTGGCCGATACAAGCTCATGAGTTACATCTAAAAGTGTCAAGGCAAGATGCTCTCTGAATTCAGTAATCTGCATTTTATTTTTCGTTATTTCCTTATAACACAAGTATGCATTCACTAAAGCAGAACCTAAAATTAACTCGATTGCTAACTTCCGGTACCATTTCGTTCCCTTTCTAAGAGAATGCGAATATGCTTTCAATTGATCCGAAAGATCAATATAAGCTTTGGCTTTGTTATAATCCGCGATGGCTTTTGGTTTTTCTATCTCTTTTCCACGTTGTCTCACTCCCACTACCTCATCGGTGTGTTTGGTGGTCAATAGCAGCACATCTCTCGTATCTTTCCATTTCATCATAACGACACCTGTACCACTTTCCTGGGCAAATACTTCATGTCTTTTTAGTTTTTTTGCCACAACTTCTTTCGCGTTCAGTTTTCTGTTCGTCCTTACAGTTCCAACAAGATGTGTTTTTCTGTTCAATAATTTAGATGCTAAATCCACACTAGTATAGTAGTTATCCGTATGGAGGGTTCGACCTTTGTCCAAAAGATTGTCCATCAAACTCATGACTACATTCGCTGTTGCATTACTGATACCATCAGTTCCACAATACACTTGTAGATTATAGGTATATCCACCAGTTGTACAAAGTTTGTACAATTTGATTCCAAATTTGTTCTTTTTGTTTTTAATGTACTGTTTAAATTTTAAACGACCTCTAAAAGGAACAAGAGTTTCGTCAATACATACATCTGGTCCTGGCACAAGAACGTACTGAAATCTTTCTATCAACTTATTGATCAGTGGGGTCAACTTTCTAAGTTTATCATTTGCAAAGTTCACATCCTCGTTATTGTTGAAATGCCACATTTGAAGGAGTTGTTCGAATCTGTTTCTTGGCATGAGATCTTTTACCTTGTTAGCGTATAAAAAATTAGTGCTCCAATAAGCTTTTAGACGTGGTAGCTGAACTAAACCCATCCAAATAATTACACCAAGAAATATTTCCATTTCTGTGTTATCAGTGGGAACCCATTCCTTTACGTGGCCTTTTGGCTTCTGCTTCTCTCTCAACACTTGCTCGGCATAAAGATTGGTTTGGTACACCATATGGTCAATAATCTCATTTGTAATAAATAGTTTGAAAAAGTCGTATGGAGTCTGCTCATATCTATCGTAGAATTCAGCTTTAATTCCAATATCAACACTAGAGAAATCAAACGTTCTTAGTGAAGTACCATCAACGGGTCCCCATACTATTTGAGTATCCTGGGTAGTGTTATTTTCTTCATCGGCGTCTTCGGATATATTTCGAGCTATCACATCTTCAATAGTTTGATCAATCTGTAACAAAACAACTGCTGTGATCCAAACATTTTTCAATTGATTTATAATAGCAATGTCGCCAACAAAAAAGAAAGATCTGAACTAAGCTTACTCACCATACTGTTGTCGTGTTCAGTTGTAAGTTCACTGATACATTCAACTGACGTGAATGGAGCAAGTTCTCTTTCAACACTGATCGCCTCAGTGGTTTCAAATTTTTTTGCACGTTTTGTAGGAATTTCTTCATCACTACAGGTTGCGTCACTACTATCAGGTACATACTCATCGGATAAATAAACGTCCTCAAATTCACTTATTTTATCGTCTTCATCAGATAACAATTCATCCCACAATGTTTGCAGCCTACGTTGCTCTTGTTCATAATCACCGTTAGCCATGCTGCTCTCTTGATGTTCCGACTTAGAATGATGAAATGTGCGTAGTCAATGAAATAAGAAACACAAACCAACTTGTTGACATGCGCAAAGTGTGACATCACATTCATGTCTCGCCGTCTCTGTAGGCCGATATATTCGGAAAGACGGCGAGACATTAATGTGATGTCACGAGAAAAATGATAAAAAATACGTAAAATTTTGCAATATTAGAACTGAACTATATGTCAGTTATACATATTGAGCATTCTATTTAACAAAAAATAAAAAAAAAAACTCCCGTCCATGCGGAACTTTTTTTACTTAGTACAACCGTGCTTAACGTGTTAATTATGTATTTATATATTTACATTACTAATTATAAGTTTATATAACGCTAGTACTCAAAATATATTTATTATTACATTGTAAGGACATGTCATAAACTAATATTTGGTATTTTTCTAAACATAAGTTTGGCTACGTAATATTAACATTTTAGTTTTTTTATGTTAAAGTAATTTTATGTTCTACGTCACTGAGGCGTTCAGTTATTGCTTAATCCCTTAGCTTAGGGTTTGCTCATTTGCATTTTATGATGTATTTTATTTGAGATTTGTCGGGGTGGTCATACTAAAACTAAAAATTCAGATAAGAATGTATCAATTATTACGTTTTTTCTGCAATGACCCTGTATTTCAAATGTACTGTAGACTTTTTCCTTGTATCTTATTATTAAAATTACTTTTTACCTGTCTTCATAATTGCTGTTTTAAAATTATGCCACTGGTGCCATACGTTCTCGCCTGTTGATCTGGATGTGCTTGAAATATTTCCAGGTAATAAAGTAGTAAATCAAAACAGCTATAGTTTATTTAAATATTCCGTTTATCCCATATATACACCACAACAATACATCTGTTCTGAGATGGAGCTATCTGTCTAGTGGAGAAACAAAACCGAATGTAATTTATATGGAAGATTGATTTTAAATTCCGTAATGTACCCTGGAAATTTTTTACACACTTTAACTTTACAGCTGTGACAGTAAATCCATAAGACATGGTAACGAAGTCGAAGGAAGAAAGACATATTGTGGTACGTAAAGGTAGCAGAAATGGCTTTGTAGAAACTGAAGAATTAATATTTTCCTATTAATACAAAGCAACTACTATTGTGACACAATAACTTTCGTGATTGTTACCGATAATATATATTTATGAAGAAATACCTAATTAAAATGCCCACTGCTGCATGGTAAAATAAGGGCATTATGCACTGGAGAAGACTAAGATATTAAGAAGAGAAATAATAAATCCCTATATACTATACAAAAATTAACACTCCACCTACTAGATAGCACTAGATCAAAAAGTAAACTTGTGACTTTGTTACAGTTAACTAGCTTTTTGGTTTTTTATTGCATTACGTCTGAAAATGTTAGGCAAACGTTTCTATGCAGGGAAATGACAATTAATACATTCATTGTTCCTTTAACCAGGGTAATTATTACGATGGACAATGCTCAACTATATCAGGATTTTCAATTTAAAAGAGTGAAAAGAAAATGGTACTGGGCTGACACGTTAGCGCGATTTTTCTGCGAGTTTATTGAAAACATTTACGGATTATATATCCATCTGCCAGTTAAGCCCAAACCAGTCAAATATTGTAAATCTGATGGCTTGGGAATATGGATGAAAAAACCAGAGGGAAAATATTTGCATAACAAAATAAAAGTAAAGGTAGAGAAAATGTTTTAAGAGAAAAATACTGTTTACAACTGAAAAGTCTTAGAATTATATGTCTTATAAAATAAATAAATAGATATGCGTTAGCTTTAAATATAAAATTAGCGGGGAACACAAAAAATAGAGAACCTTGTGCAGTCGCCGTGAAATGAGATTTTAACTATTTTATAAAAGAATTTTCAGAATAGGTGTGCCGCGCGGTAAATTAGCATTAAATTTTATTTACGTACCTGTTCAATGTACAAAGTACCAGACTTATCTAAGGCCTAAGAATAAACATGTACGTACCTCAACACCAACTGTCACGCCGATTGTACACACGCTTTACAAAAACACACACAGCATTGTTAATTCATACAATATCTTCACTGTCTCATAGCTTGAACCCTACTAACGCACTACACACTACACTAGCAATAGCAAAAACAACTAACTATAAGATGTTTAAGAATGGGAGGTTATAACATGAAACTCGACTCAATGTGCGCTGCGCGCTGTTATTTCGATTAATATGTGACTGTGATAATAATATATTCTTCTAATTATTCTTGCTCTGTTTGGGCTTAATAGTAGAGTGCACGCACACACCCGAAAATTCGTAGAAAATTATAGCCAATTAACAAACTCTTGAGAGCGCATTGAAGACTCGCTTTTTGAATTTTTTGTCAACTTGCGCAAGAGCAAACACTTCTGTTAAGCGACTAAGAAAATAACATAAAACCATTGTTACTATATTTAATGAGAATTAACTACAATTTCAGTTGAAAATACGTTTATTTTGAAAATATTTTTTCAAAAATAAAGATAAAAATATCGTATTTTTAACTAAAGTTCTAGTTATTCTTATTAAAAATAGTTAATAATATTAAATTGCCAGAAAATTCAATCCGAACAATATTACATAAAATTAGTAATACAAAAGCTTGAATTGATTAAAAAGAAGGGGAAGTCATTTATAAATAAGAAAATTGACTGGAATTGATTGAAAGGAAACAACAAAACTTCTTCTTCTTCTACGGCACTACAGCCCAAAATGAGCCTTGGCCTCCTTTATTTTTTGCCTCCACCCTTGTCTGTCTGTGGCTGCTCTTCTCCATACACGGACTCCTAACAATGCTTGTGCGTCGCTGCTTACTGTGTCTTCCCAGCGCCTTCTTGGCTTTCCAACTGGTCTCTTTCCCTGCATTCTGGCGTTCAGTGCTCGTTTTGGTAGCCTATCCTCTCCCATTCGTATCACATGTCCGGCCCATTGCAATCTTTGTATTCTAATGAAGTCTGACAGGGGTGTTTCCTTATACAGTTGATAGAGCTCGTTGTTATATCGAATTCTGAAGATTCCGTTTTTCCCTCACAGGTCCTAGTATTCTCCTCAGTACTTTTCTTTCGAATGTGTCGAGTTTGTTTTTGGATGTTTCTTTCAGGACCCATGCTTCGCTGCCATAACATGCTATTGGCCGAATTAAAGTTTTATAGATTCAAACAACAAAACACCACAAGCAATCCAGAAAAACTCACAAGAGTGGGTTCAAAGATGACAACAATACCATATCGTCGGCTGTATGCAATAGTGGCTTAACTCAAAAATTGACAAAATTGAGTTATCTTGAGAGTTATCTAGAGGGCTTAAAAAAGCTTTATTTATGACCTGCAAAACTGGCACAATAATAATAGCAAAAATGTCCGCTAGACGTCACTAGTCTCGCTATGACATGTTTTCGGTTGAGATAATTTTTTTTTGCAATAATGGCCCTTTCTACCTACATACTAATCGACCATCTGATCAGGGTCTAGCCGAGTGGTTGCTGAAGACGAGCAAGCAGGAAAGTAGGTATGGTGCCACAAATAAGTACCTAGAGAAGAAGAAGCCAAGGAGTCAATAACAGAAAATTCAAGATCCGAGAGGAAGAAAAACCAACATCAGGCGGTGCAACAGCGGGACGTCAAGAAAGAAAACTACTGTATCTTAAGTTGCGAAATGTATATATTATTAGGACAATAAATGTTTTTATTTTTATTTTATGGCCCTTTTTAGTTGTGTAGTGGAAGTCGAACTCTGTTCGACAACATTTGAGTTGTGCCACTATAGCTGACAATTTTAGATATTTTCAAACTGTATCAGGGAAAATTTTGAAGTTGTGTCACATTAAACAGAAGGAATAAATTTATTAATAAGTGATGGATTCGACCGTTACTTGATGGAAATTCATTTTATCCAACAATAAAACACTGAAAACTTTTGTTTTCAACACTTCTTAACAATTTATTTTAAATTATTATCACTACAGCTGTTCTGGCAGAGTGCCTTTCTCAAGTGATCATTATCACTTGAGAAACGCACTTTGGCTTCTGCCACTGTAGCTGTAGTGATAATAATTTAAACAGCTGTAGTGATAATAATTTAAAATAAATTTTGTAGAAGTCTTGAAAACAAAAGTTTTCAGTGTTTTATTTTTAGAATAAATTTATTATTTTAAAAATGTCAGATCCAAAGGGTTATCAGAAAAGAAGTGAATTAATCCAGGAGTAACGTAAGTTATAATATCAATATTATTTTAATATATAATTCCAAATAATCGATTTAGTAAAAACTTTAGACCCGTGATTCTCAACCTGTGGGGCGCGCCCCCCTAGGGGGGCGCGGTATTATTAATGGGGGGCGTGAGCCTATTCGAAAAAAGCATCAACAACATTGACTAATTTACTAAAATCAAAGCAAAACAAATTATGAACAAATTTAATAAAAAATCAGTGACTTCCTTGAGCTTGTTTTGTAGAGCAAAGTTTATCGAAACGGGATGTAATATTAGAAATAGACGTTTTCAATTCCTTTTCTATATTTAGATGCGATCTATATTTGGTCTTTAAAGCAGCCACCGCAGAAAATCCTGTTTCGCAAAGGTAGGATGTTGAAAACGGCAATAGTATACGGAACGCTCTGGTTTTCAGTGCAGAAAACTCATCATTTACTCCTGCCCAAAATTCAAAGAGGGATTTATTATTAAACTGTTTCTTGATTTCATCATTTGCCGTGAAGTCAATAAAGGTTTCTTCTTCAGCAGTAGAGAACCCTTCTACTCATAAGGAGAAAAACTAAAGCCGGACACTTGACAAAGAGAATGTAAGTTAATTACAAAATGATCTTGTTTTGACCTACAAGCTGCTCTCCGCCATAAAAAGGAGACGTTTTCGCTTTCTATTATAAATCTAAGCTATTAACGTATCATTTTCCTATATATGAATAGTTACAGTACACAGCTATGTTTAGCACGAAGGAGAAGGCAGTAAAGGTGCCACAGAAATTGGTTCGTGCCTGCTGATGTATTTGGAACAACCATCTATGAAAACCGATTCTGACGATTTGAAATTCATATTTTACTCAGACAATTGTAGTGACCAAGGAAAAAAAAGTACCTAATTTAATCTAACTAACTAACTTGAACAGTTCGCTGTAAACAATTTCAAAATTTCTTCTATACCTTTGTTATTTCTATTTCATTTTCGGCCATACTCAAAATGAATGTGACAGCTGTCACTCATTAATAGAAAAAAATATCACTAAATCTCTAAAAGGAGGGCCTATTTATCTACCACTCATTATGCTATGCTAATCCGAACTGCTCGTTGCAAACAACCATTCGAAGTTCACGAATTATGGCATAATGATTTTTTTTACCTGAAAAAGTTTAATACTAAAACAGCGACAATTTTCCATGAATATGTCCAAGGAAATACTCTTCATTTCAACGATATTTGTGAAATTCATGTAAAAAAAGCTCTGGTACTCACTACTATTTTAAAAATCCATTTGCACAAGAGGAGTATAGATTAGTTACCACCAAGAAAAAAAAGGAAAGATTTAGAAAGCATGGATATTATAAAACTAGAAAAGGCTTGCACTGGTAGCATATACTTTGTTTATTTCGTTCTTATAGTTGTAAACACATTTTCTCATTCAAATCATTTATAGTATTCCTTATTGATCCTTTATTTCAGTTGATAGGAATAACAAAAAACAATGTCAGTTTTGTCTTTGCCTTAATTAGTCTTGAAAGAAAAACTGTTCAATAGTGGCACAACTCAAAATAAGGGTTGAATTTAAAAGTGTTTGTTACAGTTCATTAAAGGCTACCTAACGCTCTCCCAAATAAACCAAAATTATTTTTTTTAAATCCCAATCCATGTAGTAAAACAAATAACACAAAATTATTGGCACACAAACTTTAAGCCCCTGTTTTAAAAAATTACGAGCTTTAGTGTTGTGGCACTATTGCATACAACCGACGATATGGTATACTAAAGGGCTTATCAGAAATTTAAAAAATAGGATATAAGTATAGTACATTTCACGAATCTGCGACTATTTTGGATTAGGGATGGAAGCTTCGACTTAAAGGGTCCATTATGCTGGGAAATTTAATCCTTGATTACTGGCTCAGCATCTTGTTATATGAGCGGTCCAGTGGGATACACGTGTGTCCCAGAATAAATCAGGTCTAAAATTCAATTGGCGTTTCAATATAAAACAAAGTTTGTTTTTATGATATATTTATTAATCAATAGGCCGGGCTGAAAAAGAGCAAAATTTTTTGGGAAACCTTACACAAAACAAAAGGCTAGTAAACAAAAATTGTATATATCATATATGTGATCCTAATACTATGTACCAAATATAGGCCGAAATTAATTATTTTTGACAAAAAAAATTTTTTTGTTTTATTTTTGTGGTGGGAGCAGGACTAAAAGTGTAAAAGAGGGGTAAAAATGCATATTTACGATTTATGTGCTGTGAACTATAAAGGTTCTTTACATTGAAATATTATGGTAATATTTAACGATATTCCTTATCAATTCAACCAGAACTCACCTGGAGGAGGTAGCTGCACGGCGGGTTTCACCCTCCCACCCACATTTTTACTTACTTCTTAATGCATGGTGTTGACATTTACTTTCAAATATTGGTAAATTCTTTCTGGCGTCAAGTTTAGCTCGTATGTAACCATCTCTAGATTCTTTTATTGACGTATTGGTAATTATCTTAATACATCTCTCCACAATTCCACATCGGCCAAATGCTGTGTTAAATGAGACTCTGTTATATTACTATTCAGTCAGTATGTGAGGTTTATGTAATCTTTTGCATCAAAATTGATTTGGATTACTTTGAAAATGCGATTTTTTAAACCAGCTTTCATACATTTTAGAATTCTTCTGACAGCAACCTCTCTAATATGTTGACTTGATATTCTTTTAACATAAAAATTAGGTTTTTTCGGGTGCGCAAAATGATCATTGTCTTTAATAACTTTATTGATAATTGATGACACATTAAAAATCTCTCGAAACCTGGATTAATTTTCATAGATGCCTAGTACCACATTCCAATCTTGGCTGTGTTTTTATCCCAAACCACATACGAGA